TGCCTGTTAAAGATAGGTCATTTCTAGTCCCTAAAATTCATTTGCTTATCAAGCAATTTTTTTATCAGCACAAATGTAGATCTTTTAAGTAGGAAACTTAAGCTCAGAAACAGTTAATGAAAGCAATGTAGTTTTACCGAAACTACATTAACTCCAACCACAATAAGACTTCTTAATAAGGGTCCATCAATTCCCTCATATTCATGACTCACTGTCACTAGGAAAACCAGTTTGCAATCAGTTTACTCACTGCATATTACAAGAGCATCTTCAGACAGGTGGAAAGATGGTTTCAACACAGGCAAAAGAAAGGTGATCTGGGTAATGAAAGTTAATGGGATGCTTCAGTCTGTGATTACAGAAAGAAACCGAATAACATCATTCCCTTATAAAAGCCTGGAATACTTCAACTTATTTTACACTCCCCAAAAACACAGCCTCAAGATTTATCTCAAAACAAAGCCTTAAAGCACCTGAATGTGTTTATTAAAGGAATCCCTAGGCATACTACATTATCATCTCAGTGTTAACTCTAAAAACAACAAACTCAATTCAGCAATTCAGCACTTGCAGAATGGTTATTACATACAAACGCTGTGTAAAATACAGTAGTCACTACAATACATACCTTATCTTCAAGAAGCTTAAATCTAGTGGGAGAATGGAACACATACACAAATGACTCTGTGCCCTTCTCAACTGGGGTTACTAATCTGACTCACAGAAAACAGAAAATGACTTAAGTGCTATTTTCTTAATTCTCTCAAGGATGATACATAACCAGTATAATTCCAGATGCATATGATGGATGGCTTAGGGTGTAACAGGAAGAAAGAATCAGAAGGCAGACAGGGGATGGAAGACCACATGTCATGCTCCAAACTTTGTATTCTTTGCCAGGGATCACCGGGAGCCCTCAAATATTTTTAAGCACAGAAGTAACATAATCAAAGATGTAAAGTGCTATTCTAGCAATAGTACAGATGAAGGGAGATAACTGGAAGCAAGATGACTAACTATGAGATTACAGAAATATAATCTTAGCTCTCAGGAGTAAGAATGTTCTGAGCTACAACAGGATCAGTAAGAATGAAAAGGTGAATGAACAGGACTTGGCAAATACAGGGTCAAGAACAGAAGTAGTTGTCTCCAAGGCTTTCATCCAGGATGACTGGGAAAAAAGTGATACCATGAAACAATGTTAGAAAAATAGTTATGATTTACAAGGAAATATGAATGGCTTCAGCTAAAAAAAAAATGTAAACTGCTTTTTTCTATGCCTTTTACTGTATTAGATTAATTTTAGAATAAATATTTTTTATTGATTACTAAGAACCATAATTAAAGACCAGATTTTAAAGTACTTATATCCCTACATCACTTTTTCAGGATAAAATACTTAAGGAAACCAGAAAAAATTCTAAACAAGTTGATGTATTACAGATAAAGAATCCCACTACTTAACTGCCAGAACCAGCTAACTGACTAATCATGAGAACAATGCCTCACAACAGACCAGTTCATTCACAAACCAGTCTTCAGCCAAATCTCTGAAGAAAAGTTTCCCTAAGAATGACAAATTTTATGTCATTGTCTAAAAGTATTTAAAAAATCTGGAGGAAGAATGTTCCAGAAATCCCTGGCAAGAATGTGAGATCTTTTCCTAACTGGTCTTAGAATTAAACTTGGAACCATGGGAACATGAATATGGGGTGAAATACAGAAGTCACCTTCAGACTTCAATGGTATATGTCTCTCCTACCTACTTCTCCTACCCTTCAAAAAAAGTCTTGAACAACTAGTAGGCATTGACAGTATCAACTCAGAAGCACAGGCATTTTTATTGACAACCCAAACACAGGTTCATAAATCTTATTCTAAAATGTGCTTTAAAAACTTTGTAATAGAAAACACATGAATATGCCCTTCTACATATCTATGACTTGTTTACTTCCCTTTTGTCCTATGTGAGACAATGTTAATGTGAGATGACGTTATTGCTCATTCTAGCAGTCACACAAACTATTAAATATCCAAAAAGTAGAAAAATAAATTAGCCTATAGAATGATTTTGAGATAGCAGGGATGTTTACTGAATTATCTGAAACATCAGAAGCATCTGCTTTCTGAAAAAAAGAGAAGCAGAACAGTATAAGCAATAAGAGCAAGGCTTTAGTGTGAACAAGTCCTTGGGTCGGATTCTAGTGCTGTCACTTGTGAGCTTTGCTATGTCTCGATTTCTTTATCTATAAAATGGGATCATACTACATAAACAACCCTGTGAGGTAAAATTAAATCAGTGCTTTCTACACCAGGCTGGTCACCAGAATCACCTGGGAAGCTTATTAAAAACATAATATTCCAGATCCTATTCCATACTTTCAGCAGTGTGATCCTAAAATTTGTATTTCTAACAAATTCCAAACATAATCCTTATATACCAGTCCCACAATTTTAAAATCATTGAAAAAACATATATATATATACACACACACATACACACATTTTTATATATTCCTACATAATTTATATTTGTATGCATAATATAACAGAGCCCTAGTAAACTGTAAATGTTCAATAAATGCTTGATGTAATTATCATTATTTTTAAGCTGGAGATAAAACTAAGCCTTTTGTAACAAAATGGCCACTAAGTAGTCTTGTAGAAATAGTCTTATAGTTCTTGCAGAACTACAGTTTGCATAAACCTTTCACCAAAAGCGAAACCTGAAGAATGAAACCATACTGTTTCAGTGACAGTGAGAGAAGACAAAAATGAAGTTCCACACTGATGACAATACCCCTTTTTCCACAACATAGTTTATGACAGAAGGAAAGCATAAAGTCAGGCCTGTCTTATATTTTTCATTACAAAGCTTGACTATGTAGGTCACTTCATCACAAAATCTTTAAATTCATTCCTTATTTTTCAGCAATTCATAAAAATTCATTTGAATTCATGACAAAGCAACGCAAGTACTAAGTAAATGTGTACAGTAACATTAACCATAACAAATATCTAAAACCCACAGAGAGATGGATACTGATAAAAGATTCCTGGTTCTTATTTACAAATATCATCTTTCCTTTTTAAAAATCTACACTCTTGAATTAATTAGTATTTCTAAATAAAGTGACCTCATATACAGGATATAAAGCCCTTTAAAATAATGTCTTAACCACACTTTTGCATCAATATTGTACACAGATCGATGTTACCTATAAGATTATATTAACTATTTAAAAATTCCTTCTATAAAAACCTTAAGAAATTTATT